ACTGAGGCGCTACAGCGAACTGTTATGACTCAAAGAGCCACAAAATGGTATTTATTGTTTGAGAGGCAAAAATGAAGGGGAGGAAAGGAGGGAATGAAGGTCTGCAGTCTGTCATCATGCCATACTGGGATGAGTTTGGGTGAAAGGGCTCCGCAAAAACATTATGAGAGATGTATGGATTTTGCACTCGTTTGTTCTCCCCCCTCTATCTGTTTGCTTACAGTAATCTGTCATTCTGTCATTTACTGGGGGTAGAGCTGTCTGTCCCGCTAGCCTACAGAGATATATATATAGGGGGAATTAAAGCTTGTTCACTCTTTTAGACATTTAAATCTTGTTTTATCCAGTTGCCCCATTTTTCTCAATTGCTCTCCCCTTAAAGGTGACATATCATGAAAAACAAATTTTCCAGGTTTTAAGTGCTATAATCAGGTCCCCGGTGCATCTACCAACCAAGGAAACGTGAAAAAGATTAACTCAGAAACTTTGTTTTGGTAAGCCTTTTTCTGCAAGTGTCTGAAAAAACGAGCGGGTCTGATTTCGCTCCCTTGGTGACATGGCAAAGGGATTTCGCAAGTGACAATGGTGGACTAACTCTAATGCCATGGCGAAGGTTTGAGCAAAACATGCTAACTGTTCTGTCTTTGGCTGCACTGACAAGCACAGAACACTATTTAGAGTCCCAGCCTCAGATGAGACAAGACAGCAGTGGATTTATTGATTTATTTACTGTATATTGCTGCTGCCACACAGATCTACAATAAACATGTGCTTTATTTTCCAGCTGTTTACCTACACAGACATAACCAACTGTTTTTGTAACTCGTGTGTGTTTTTAACGTAAACTTGTGTGTGAATGAGAACTTAGTTTAGTACTCACATGCTGTGACAGCCGCTTTCGGTCTGTGTGCTTCAGATGTGTGCACTCAGAAAAGAGTATATCATAAGCTTAAACTAATATGGTTTAAAACGCATGATTTCAGCGTGATAAAGATGATAATCTGAACCAAAACAGATGTTTTTAGCAGGTCTGAGCAGTAATGGCGCAGCTCCATTCTGGAAAAGGGGGCGGGGAGTAGCAGCTCATTTGCATTTAAAGTGACATGCACGAAAAAACAGTGTGTTTCTGCTTCCACTCAAAATAGGCATTTTTAAAATGATATAATAAATGATCTGTGGGGTATTTTGAGCTGAAACTTCACAGACACATTCTGGGGACACCAGCGACTTATATTACATATTGTAAAAGGGGGCATAATATGTCTCCTTTAATGCTCTTGTTTCAATTGTTTATTTATTTAAATTAATTTAATTTATTCGTTCCCCTAACCATCAGGTCAAACATAAAGCAAAACTCTCTATTTAATAGACAAATGTTTACAGTGTCTTGTGGTTTATTAGCAGCCACAAGTTTCTTTTGCTCAAAATGATCCTACATAAAAACTTTTAAACCAGTCTAAGCTGGCCAGGCAGTCTTTTGACTGGCTTTAGACATGTTTGGGGTGTTTTAGAGAGGTGAGACTATATTAAATCAACTAAGACCAGCAAGCCAGCTTAGTTTTTGCCAACTATACAAGCAAATGGATTTGGGGAAATCAAATTTTGCAGATATGAGCATTGAAATACAACCAAATGATAAGACATGGTGAGATGTTCTACTGATCCTTTTTTATACAATATTTCATTTGATTCTCATACAAAGATAAACTGGTGAATATGAAACCTCCCTGAAACTCACCTTACATCCGATTATGCAAAGAGTATAATGTGCTATACCCAGGGTTAAAGGAAAATCAGCTTGTCACATACTTCCATAGTGTATGATTGCAGAAAAAATCTAATAATTGTAATTAAACATTGATGGATCAACACATTTTGTGGGGGAAAAAATCATAAAAGCATACTGTTGTTTAAAAATCATGTAATGGCATGAGGTGGCGAGGGGGGACTTTTACCCAGGGGAAAGACTCACCAGCATGGGGTAAAAGATGAACTGATGATGAACTGCATCCTCTTCCATACTGAAGTGAGCACTTATTTGCTATTAAGGTCTGGATTTGGAGATCTGTTCGTAAAGTTATTCCTGGGTGGCTAAATTGTACTTATTTTTTTATGACTAAATGATTTTCGCGGTTGTTGTTAGTACATTATAGATCAAATGAGATTTGCGTCAATGTCAACATGGTGGATATAGGCTATATATACTGAACAAAATTATAAACGCAACACTTTTGCTTTTGCCCCCATTTTTCATGAGCTGAACTCAAAGATCTAAGATTTTTTCTATGTACACAAAAGGCCTATTTCTCTCAAATATTGTTCGCAAATCTGTCTAAATCTGTGTTAGTGAGCACTTCTCCTTTGCCGAGATAATCCATCCACCTCACAGGTGTGGCATATCAAGATGCTGATTAGACAGCATGATTATTGCACAGGTGTGCCTTAGGCTGACCACAATAAAAGGCCACTCTAAAATGTGCAGTTTTATCACAAAGCACAATGCCACAGATGTCGCAAGTTTTGAGGGAGCGTGCAATTGGTATGCTGACTGCAGGAATGTCCACCAGAGCTGTTTCCCGTGAATTGAATGTTCAATTCTCTACCATAAGCCGTCTCCAAAGGCATTTCAGAGAATTTGGCTGTACATCCAACTGACCTCACAACCGCACACCATGTGTAACCACACCAGCTCAGGACGTATACTCCCTTAAGCCATTGCAGACCTTCTGCAAATAAAGAGGAAAGAAGGTCAAACCATGAAGCCAACGCTATGCATTGTTGTTCGACTTTGATGACAGATGGTCATCCAAACATTTGGAACGTATTTGTTTGACAGTCAGCAGAGTCCAAGTGTCAGACATAGAAAAAAGAAAGCATTCCAGGTGGAAAATTAGAAATAACACTTGGAAATTCCTTTTTGTCATTTAAAATGTGTATTATAACCTAGATAACCCTGAAGGCAGCTATATATTTTTATCTATACAGACCCTTTTTTACTGTGTAAAAAAATCATATAAAGGCTACATTTTGTTTCTGTAAATGTAAATTCAAAATGTTGCGGATCTTAATATCTACATCATACTAATATATTAATATAAATTAATAAAAGTTAAATTAACTTTGGCAGCCCTAAAATTTCATTTTGTGCGTGAGTGTGTGTGTATACAACACACACACACGCAAGACAATCTTAAAAGTCTCACCCTGGGACACGGTTTCTGGACTTCTTTAAACCATAGACACAGAAACAGGCTGAGAAGTATGTATGGGAACAAACTCTGAGATCGAATACGACAAAAGTCCTCCACTTCAAAAGAAGCTGGCAAAAACGGACATTTGCAAGCTTTCTTTTAAAGAATGACTAATTAATAAGCAATTACAGATGACAACAACCATGAGGAGGAAGGAAAGCAAGCCGACCTTTGACACGCTCTACATTATACCATGACTACAGGCAACAGCCATTTACACATCAAAGCATGTCAAAGCAAGTCTGATAAAGAACAGTCCTAAAATTTGCTCTGTGGAGAGCTAGTCTCAGAGCTCTGCTGTGTCCATATAGTATCCTAACACAAGTATTATCAGCTTTTATCTGCGGCTGAAGAAATGGCTATTTAGTGAGTGCAGAAGAAACCATTTTTGGGGTGCATTCTTTTTTTTGTTCCTCTGATGTATTACCTGCACTCTTAAAAATAAAGGCGCTTCAAAAGGTTCTTCAAGCGATGCCATAGAAGAACCATTTTTGGTTCCACAAAGAACCATTCAGTCAAAGGTTCTTTAAAGAACCATCTCTTTACCTTTTTGTAATCTGAAGAACCTTTTTTCACCACAAAGAACCTTTTGTGAAACAGAAAGGTTCTTCAGATGTTAAAGGTTCTTTATGGAACCATTTAGACAAAAAGGTTCTTCTATGGCATCGTGAAGCACCTTTATTTTTAAGAGTGTGCTGCTGACTTCTGTAGAATCTCATCCGGACATACACTTCAAAAGTTCAAGCTGTGCTCATAAATGTATTTAAATGTTGTAAATATGTAAGGCAATGATTAGAAACATGAGGAATCATGTTGCACAAAGGTTACTGGCTCTAACAAACGACATGATTTCAACATTTTATAACAAAGCACTAAAAGGTTTAGTGAAGGCTGCAGAACTTTTGGATAAAGTGAAATATAATCTCTGCCTGTCCATGCAGTGAAGTAAAGCGCTGTGTACTGTCAATGCATCACTTTCAAGTTTAACTCAAGGCACTCTGCTGCTATAAAAGAACCACAAAAAAATGGAAAATAAAGCCAAGGGGGAAAGCTTAATGAAGTATAGACGAAATTCTTGACTGCATGTGTAGATTCTTTCTTTCACCATTAGACATCTCTGAGGTGCGGCTCACTGTGTAACTGAAATAGCACTAGCTATGTACTGCCACCTGGAGGAGGAGGGTGTAGAAAACAGGCTCTATAGATACTCTTGACTCCTAACACTTTTGAGACCTGCCTCAAGCAGTAAAAATAAGATACATTGGTTTAATGTAAACATTTTTAAATTAATAAAAATCACAAGAATTTGTATATAAATACAACAGACAAACTGTGTTTACAGTCACATTGAGGCAGTTTATTGACCCAAGGACAAACTTAAATGTTTAAGCTCCTCAGCTCAAATATTTCATTTTACAAATGAAATATTACATAAATTTACTACATAAAGGAACAAAAAACATGATAGAACATTATCAAATTAGGAAATATTTAAAAAGCCCTGAAGAATAGAGCTGCAAGAAGGATGATTAAACATAACGGTACATTTGGAAAGAATGCATTCATTTTATACAGTCACACACACACATCACCATATCCACAAAATGAGGGGTTAGTCACAATAAGCTTCTCCAGGAATTTTGTATCAGTTCACAGATTAAAGCCTGGAATGAGCTGCCAACGGACCACACAATACCATGTGTGTGTGTGTGTTTATGCATGTATATTCACAAATTCCCTTTTTGTTCATTCATTCATTTCACTTTCAGTCCAGCTCATTGAAACGTGCAAACATGGCCTTCCGAACTGCCTGTTTGTACGTGGCATGATTCCAGACGACGGGTTCCTTCTTCTTCCGCTTTGGTAAGAAACAAAAGAAAGAGAACAAAATGAAACCAATGCCCCTCAGCTGCTGCAGTTCAGAACATCCGGTTGCTGAATAGACTCACCTCAGTAGTTTCTAAACCCAAACCTGGTCTCTCGCTGCCTTTATGACTGTCCCTGCAACAACAACCAACATGCCACATTTAAGATATGATGGTTCAATATCAGTGCCAAGTGTAAATGGAATGTATTAGGATTCAGAAAATCACAAACCTTGAGCTGCCGGCCCATGTGTTTTGCGACTTTCTTCTTTTTGTTTCAGGTGAACCGTTCGACTGTTTTATTTTCATCTAAAGAACAGGTTCAAAATGAGAGTGAATCATTTCATTTCAGACTACTGTGAGAAAACAACGGAGAATATGTTTGAAATCAAGTATAATGTTTGAAGCACATGCTGACCTGTAAGCAAAATGTTGCTATTAGAAATAACTAGATAGTCTAGCTAAAAAGATATACAGTACTCAGCATAAATGAGTACAGCCCCTCTAAAACTTGACAAATTTAGCAATTAATCTTTACTTAGTAGACAGACATATTAGCGGTCTGTGCATATGTTTCAGCAAGTCATTTACTAAAGAGACATGTCAAAGATTGTTTTCTTATCAAAGTGATTAAATGTTGTCTTGCAAAAATGCACCCTCCTAAAAGTTACAAAGTAAAACTAAACAAAAAATATCTGGTGTTACATAGCCCACTAAATCTATCTCAGGTATAATGCTGACAATAGTGGAACCATTTGGGAGAGAATTTTCAGGAGATTCATTTCTTTGCACAAAAGAGTGACAATGTCCCTGAAATAATTACACACTTCACTTGAAGCTTTCATTTCATGAAGAGTGATATTTTGCTAGTAAAAGAACAAAAAACTAAAACAAATGCCATGTCTCAGAGCTGGCAAAAGCTATGAAAAAAGTGACTGTTTCATCTCGCACATTACCTACTGTAGCCAAAGCACAAACTCATTTAGCCATTTCCAAGGCCCATATTTACAAAATATAGACTTCTGGGAATCCATAATCTGGTCTCATGAGACCAGTTCAATCATTTTGGATCTAACAGCATCCAAAATGTTATGGTGCTTCTATAGGAACAATATAGTGAGAAGTGTCTGGTTCTCACAGTGAAGTTTGGAGGTTGTGAAGTTTAAAAAAACTTTAAACAGAAGATGCAACCCTCTCTTCATTACAGAGTACTATACTTTAATCAAGGGTGTACTCATTTCTGCAACCCATTTTTGCCATCTCTCCACAATTTGTTTTAGGGATCAAATCATGAAAATCTGACTTTTCCAGGTTTTAAGTGCTATAATCAGGTCCCGGTGCATCTACCAACCAAGGAAACGTGAAAAAGATTAACCCAGTAACTTTGTTTTGGTAAGCCTTTTTCTGCAAGCGTCTGAGAAAACGAGCACGTCTGATTTCACTCCCCCTTAATCTGTAAGTTTCCACCCACGGCACCATCATTTTGATTTCACAAGTGACAGTGGTGTAATGCCATGGCGAAGGTTTGAGCAAAACATGCTAACTGTTCTGTCTTTGGCTGCACTGACAAGCACAGAACACTATTTAGAGTCCCAGCCTCAGAGGAGACAAGACAGCAGTGGATTTATTTATTTATTTACTGTATATTGCTGCTGCCACACAGATCTAAAATAAACATGAGATTTATTTCCCAGCTGTTTACCTTCACAGACATAACCGACTGTTTTTGTAACTCGTGTGTTTTTAACGTAAACTTGTGTGTGAATGAGAACTTAGTTTAGTACTCACATGCTGTGACAGCCGCTTTCTGTCCGTGTGCTTCGGTTGTGTGCACTCAGAAAACGTATTTCAGAAGTTTAAACTAATATGGTTTAAAATGCATGATTTCAGCGCGATAAACATGATAATTTGAACCAAAACAGATGTTTTTAGCAGGTCTGAGCAGTAATGGCGCAGCTCTATTCTGGAAAAGGGGGCGGGGAGCAGCAGCTCATTTGCATTTAAAGAGCCAGGCCCGAAAAACTGTGTGTTTCTGCTTCCACCCAAAATAGGCATTTTCAAAATGATATAATAAATGATCTGTGGAGTATTTTGAGCTGAAACTTCACAGACACATTCTGGGGACACCAGAGACTTATATTACATATTGTAAAAAGGGGCATAATATGTCTCCTTTAAAAAATATATATTTTTCCAGAGGGGTTGGCACTTGTTTATACTCAGTACCTTACATAATTAAAGGAAAAAAATACCTCTTTTTCCTGGTTTTCTAGAGCCTCAAGTTCTCTCTTTGACCTTTTGATTTTTAGGTGAATCTCCATATTTTGCTAAAATAAAGAGAAAAATACAATAAAGGGAAGGTCAAAACCTGACCCACAAATTATATAATTTATATACTTATAAAAAAATAAATAACTGATCAAAATGTATTTATATAAAGACTACACAGAGATCTGGTACCTTATGCAGGTCTGAGAGCTGCTGGTGGCGGATCAGAGCGTCTTTATTAGGGAACTGCCTCCTGCACAGAAGACATGCCATCTTCTTCCAATCTGTCAACTTGTCTTCCTTCTCGTCCGCCTGTGGCTGACTCTTTGCGGGCCCTGCAGCTTCCTGCTTCTCGTGTTTCTCTTCTTCCTCCTCGTCGCTGCCTGCCCCATAGTCAGCCGCCAACATTCCAAGAGAGCCCATGGGCCGCTGCCAATACACAAGAGGGAGAGAGGGGAGTTTTGCTTTGATCTACAATGACACTCACTGTAAATCTGCTTTAGTGTGGGTTATCAAATAACCTACATCAATCAGGGTCAAGGTGATGTGTGTGCCCTTTCAGCTGTTTGGGAAAACTGAGACTGAAGTGTATTTGAGTGCATGTTAATGTGTGTGCGTTGTTGATAGTAAGACTGTAAACTCTCACCTTTGATGATTTTTCCTCTTTTTGTTTTGGTGGAGCAAGAGGCTTCTTGAATAATTCATCTGCACTGGTGGCCTATATGAATAAAGGAACAGTATGAAATAATAACAGACATTAAAACATTTAAAAGAAAGATCATCGCTAAAGTTTAGTAGGCTGTTATAGACCTATGACAGATGGGTAAGATCTGACTGTGTTAAATGTACTGAATTTTAAAAACATGTTGTTATCTGGCCTGTTGCATTTCCCTTACTTTACAGACAATTCTGAAGTCAAGCACACTAATAGAGATTAGAAATTAGGAAAAACTAAATATAAAGTTTAATGTGTGTCAGTGAAAATATACGAGGGGAGGGACATGAGTAAGGATTGGAGAGAGAAATTAGAGATTTCAAATGTAGTCCAACTAAATAATTGATGGGACATTGCAACCCACAAAACACATATGACTAAAAATACCAAGCATTACAATATTTTGCTGATGGATTAAAAATAGAGCATGACACATGCAATCCTATCCTAAGAGATGGGTAATGATTATTATCTCTGGGAAGGATAATAAAAAAACACTAGATTTTGATATGTTCTGAAGAAACCATACAAACAAAACTTGATGCCACAATCTTAGGGTGTTATAAATGGTTGCCAGGTGTGCATAGTTTGTAAGATGGTCAAAAGTAATTTTGATCTCTAAATATGGCCCATCCTTCCTTAAATTCAAGTATATTGATTTTTGTCTGGTTCAGCATCTACAAAACAAAAATCTGATTGCTTAAATTAATAACACACCTCTCTTCAACGAGCTGCCCGATTTTTAGTGTTCGTGTCAAAATCACAAAGAGTGTGCACTGAAGTTATTAATATGTAAGGTGTGGGGTTTGTTTAAATTCCTAATTCTGATTATGAGCAATATAGACAGGAGTGAAGGGGTCCTAAGATAGCTAGGCCTTTAGAGAATAATGATTTTAGACTGGTTGCATTAACATCTGTGATTATGAAATGTTTGAAAAGGGTGTTGTATCCGTGTTATAAGCAGAGGTCGCTAGTAATCTAGACCCCTTATAGTTCACCTATAGACAAGGGAGAAAAACTGAATATGCTATTAACTAGGGCTGTGAGATTAATTTGAAATCATCATAAAATCGCGATTTGAGCATGCGCGATTTCTAAATCGCTTTACAGCACGAATTTCCGCGCCCCCTACCTACCGTGGACCTCCATGGATTGACACGGAAATTTAGTAATTACACCATAAATGCATATAATTAAAGTCTACTGTTTCAGTGTCAACACATGGATTTTTGGATAGATTTAAAACAAGGAAGAGTGCACTTTTAGATAAACAACACAATAATAGATGGCACTCGTGGTGGTAGTTAAAGTTATATTTATTGAGTTTAAACGTGAATATGTCTATGAAAGATTGTATTACTGTACTGTGATAAGAGAGAATCACAATGCTGAAAAAGCATGTTCAGAAACATTTGGATTTGAAATCAAAATAATGGATAAATGTTGTGTTTGTGGTAAACAGCAGCGGATCAGGAGCGGACTGCAAACGCATCCTGTGCGAAAGCAAAATGAGTCTGTGCTGCTTCTGCACCGCATACACATAGGCAGTATATGTACTGCAGACGGAGTATGTGTGAACTTGGCGCAACAAATCTAGTTAAACATCTGAGGCAATGCCACAAAGAGCTCTATGACCAATGCATGGAAAAAAAAAAATCCCTGGACGCGGGATTTTTTTCAATTTCAATACCATAATCAAATAAATTAAAACCAAATACCTTGCATGGAAGGTGCAACACCCATAGTTGTATGAGAAGGCTGAGGATAAAATTGTTGCTGTGGCTGCTGATACTGATGTTGTTGTTGCTAGGAAAAAAAATATATGAAAAGTTTAATACAAGATATGGACTGTTCACACAAAACATGCTCTTGCGTTCAACTGGGATATTTTTTAAACACGGTTCCACGTAAATATATGCTAGACGGAAGTGAATTTTAACCATCTTGATATTTTTGTTGTTGTTGTTTTTCTGCATCTCACGCAATGAGCACTACATTTTTAAAATGCGGTTTCAAGATAAAAGAAAGCTCACCCTTATAAAATGTACCTTAAAAACATTGTCTAGCTGTCTGAAAGTTTTAGTATCAATGTATGTCATGCATTGAAATGACCTACCATCATAACATCTGGAGGGAAACCCAAGAGAGAAGTGTTTGACTTATCATTTTCCCTCCTATAGCTGCAGTGAAAACAAGAATTACCTTTAAAGCTCAAATAACAACCACAGTTGAAATTTCTTCTCTTAGGACTTATGAAATGTTTCCTCTAAGAACTGAAACTAGAATATACATGTAATATTCTTTTATTACTTACGCAAATGAGACTTACTTTTGGTTTTTCAAAGGTTTGGCAACTTCAGCATAAACTCTAACCCCATCAATCATGATAGGGCGGGGTTTGGTGAGCAGCTCCACCAATCGCGTCACATGCTGTATATACAAGTGAGTAGTATCCTTATGAATGCATCAAGGAACACAGTGGACCATTTTGAGACATTATATTGTAGTTAGAATGAGAAATCTGTACAATACCTCATGTGAATCCATATCGACAAAGCAGAAGCATTTGGACCCAGGTGACTTCCCTTTGACCAGACGTACATTGCGCTCATCCAGGTACGCAAATGTATCGAGTGCTTGCAGAATGGTCTCCACGGTGGTGGTAGGCAAAATGTTCTTGATAATCATTGCTAAAAATAAGACATGAAACTTAAGAACAATCTGCCACCTTTTGTTCATTTGTTTTCTTTCAGAATATGTATTCACAGTTGACATCACTTACTCTTGCTCTCTTTGAAGACCGGATCGGAGTGCTGCAAGTTTTGGCGAGATGCTCTCTGATTGGTCCATTCTTCCGATTGTTGCTCTACCTCCTGCTGTTGTAGCTGTTGGTCTACTTGCTGTTGCCATGCTTCAGGAGTCAAGTTGGAGTTTCTTTGCCACACACCTTGAGAGGCAGGATCCTGCACAGGCTTGGCATCGGTTTCCTCCTTTATATTCAGTGGCAGGGCTGGATTTGGTAACAAATTGTCATCGCTGGCTGGAGCGGCTTTAGCTGGTGGTTCATGATGCTGCAATCCAAATTACATTTAAGTATGTCAATCACACTAACAGATAATTAAGATCAATACATATCAAGCTCTACCAAAGAGGAATCTCACCTGTTCTTTCATATTTTTGTCAGGCTGGATATATTTGAGCAGAGCAGTCTTGTCACCAACCTTAACAGATCCCTAGAAAACAAGACAACAGTCTCTCAGTGCTAAGTGACTGACAGCTTTCCAAAAAGCCAACTCAACCTAACAACAAAAAAGAAAAGGTATTTCCCATTTGCCCATCTGAGGGCATAAACAGGCAGGTCTGATCTGGGCTTTACTTATGCCCAGGTTTGGATTACATTTGCGGTTTTTTTTTTTTTTTCATCTGCCTTTTTAATACACACATTACCGTGTGAAAATGGGAGTAAAATCTTTTAAGTGTAGTAAATCTTGCAGTGGTTATATGGCTGCAATTTATGTACTACCGCCTTAATTTGAATGCTAACCTGAAAATATAACTGAAAAATATAACTAGTAATGTCAAAGTACATAGTAGAAGCATATTCATCGCACAAGTAACTGCACATTCATCCGTAACAGGATGAATAAAGGCAATAAAGTCTGGCTTCTTTCAAGTGAGAAGACTATGCAGACTTGGAAAATTTCACAATTCACTTTCAAAATGGGGTGGACAGTCAAAACAGCAGTGACATTAGGGCTGGGCGATATAGCTAAAAACTTTATCAACGATATAATGTTTCATATCGTTCGGTATCGATAATTATTGATATTTTTTATAACCTTTTTTTAAACAGAGCAATAGAATTTTTTTTTTTATTTAACCACTGTATTTTTAAATTAACCCAATTTATTGAGACAAACAACAAATATTTTTTGTTTTAACAATCACACACAAAATAAAAATTAAACATATCTAATTTCTAATGTTTTATATGCAGATTTAAATAGGTCTTAAGGAAACTTTTGACATCCTGAGGCCCACAGGAGGGCGCAATGAGCAAAATAATGCCGCACATTTAAATTGTCAATGTAAGGAAATATCTGTCTATAAAAAAAACGTGCATTACGTCTAAATTAACTCATAAAAATCAAATATAATTTTGTAAATTGCATACACAATTATGAACAAAACAGCATCATGTATTTATTATATAAAGCACGTCTCGTGGGCTAGACTAACAAAACATTAAAATGAAACAACGTCACTTACATCACCACATCTTGCACGCCACTAGTGACGCTCCCTGACGCACTCCTAACATTCAAATGCAAATGTTTATTTTAAATTAGACTAATATTCATTCTTTATTCACAATCTCCTCATCACAGGCAGGCACAGCACTCAATTCAGCATGTGTTCATGTTTGTGTGTGCTGTTTGCGTCACTCATAGCACGTGCCTATATCGTGCGCTATATTGAACATTTTTTCTATCGTTATCGAAGGAGGTGTACCGTCGATAAATATCGATACCGTTTTATCACCCAGGCCTAAGTGACATTTTTTCTATGCTAGGACATTAAGATTTTCTCATTTTACTTCACATATATTTATGTTGTTTATAAAAAGGGTTTCAAAAGACAGACCATATATTGACTGGCCCACTGTGAAAAATCCAGTTCATGCCCGATCAAAGAAAAGTACTGCTTATGGACAACTGTGGTAAAAGATCTTCAGCTTTTAGGTTTAAAGGACATTCTAGGTAAATTGCCTAATAACGTGATCAGAATTTTATGACTTCTAACTAGGGCTGCACAATAAATCGAAATGAAATCGCGATTAGGCAGAAGCTGCGATTGTCATGCGCATCTTGTCAGTGAAGCACGGTTTTGTGATCAGCAGTAAATCTCCATCCGAAGCCCAGAGATACTCCAAATACACCCCAGAGAAGAAATCCATGCCTATAACGGTAGCTGAATAAACAGAAGATTTAACTGCTTTCACTGATTCAACGTGACTAATAAACAAGACTACGACAATATATGGGTTATCTGAGTTCTTATTATTATAATAAAGTATATTTATAATGCATAGCCTTTATCACCGCTTAGAATACTATGAAATATGTTATTGCCTTATTCTGTGTAAGAAGCCACATCATCTCAGAAGGATTTCAACACTCGACTGACGTTATGACGTGAGTTTGGAGTAAAAACATGTTATTAAATGTGGTATTTTCACATGCTTTCAGATAGAGAAGCATTTACTACACAGAGCCATAGTTCACTGAGAAGCTACGCGATTTTAGTAAATGTGTAGTAAATGTCGCTCCATCTGAAAGCATGTGATGGAGATTTACTGCTGATTACAGAACCGGCTTTACTGACAAGATGCGCATGACTACCGCATTTGATAAATCGTGCAGCCCTACTTCTTACCCACCGTCACTGCCGCAGTTACTTGTTGTAGAAATTTGTTTTTAAGTGTCTCACCAAGTACACAAAACAAGATAAGTTATCCTGCTAGTTGGCCAGCAGGGAACTGTGGTTTCGGATGAAAGAAGAACCCTGAGCAAGATTCTTTTCTGAAAGGTACTTTGTCAGACATTTAACAAAAACGAGGGAGAAATATATGCTGTTACAACCAATACAACCCACAGGGTATTCAAGTTTCAGCACAACAGCCAATGGCTCAACACAAATCCAAGCAAACCTCTAGTTGCCTTACTCGCCTTACATTTATAGTGCAAGTTTCATTAGAAATGTCAAAATACTATTAGTACAAACAAGCCCTGATTTTCCAAGTCTGGATTTTTCCAAATAAACATCAGCATGGATCTCTCAGACATCCAGATACACAACAACCACGAAGTCGGTCAAGATGAAGTAAGCAGGAATGAAAAGAACGAGTTTGTTGTGCTGGAAGAGATAAGACACCCAAACTCAAGATGATTAAATCACAATCCATGGAAAGAAGAATAAAAAAACTTCACAGACTGCAAGTAGAACCAAAGAGCACAGTTCTGGAACTGTAATTCCATAAGGTCAAAGGATTAAGGAATAAATGTTGACACAGCACGAGGATGATACTGTGCTGTAGGCATAACAGCATAAAGCTTTACTTACAACCATTTGACAACCTGTTCATCGGAAATTCAAATAGGGGAAAACAGCAACTACCTCTTTCCTTCCAAGTCAGCAAAATATGAATATCAACAAAAGGAAGCTACATATAGCATTTCAGTCACCACAGAAATTATGAAAATCCAACGCTGAATCACTTTAAAGTAAGACAATAAAGGAGGCCAAAGAAGAATGCTTAGTTTTGCTTTAGTACCACTTCAGAACATGCCAGTGGGAGCAAGTAAAAAGTGATCGTAAGAGCATAACCTCCAGATGGTCAAATGAGGGAAATAAAATATTATACTGTTGAAAACAAAGAATGAAATATCAATGGTCTGGAGTACTACCACCTAAGAGTTGAAGAAACAGGTTGCACAACTTGTTGCATAGATGCAAATCCAATTCAGTATGCCATGTATCTATTCATAAAACTATCCATTCTGTATAAGTCGAAAAAAAGTGAAATGTAAAGGTTCACTCAAGTTCAATCACTCAGCTAATACACCTATAACAGTAATCAAAGAATAGTGCACCCCTTGTCACTACGCTCACTTGTTATGCCTTGAAGCTAATGTTGCAAACTAAGTGGCGTGTTTTAATTGGTCATGATTAATATAAGTGGGAAAAATGTTCCCTTGAAAGTCTCATGTCCCATCTACCCCATTCCCACCCAGAGCCCAGCCACCTCCCCCTCCCCAGGCCCAAGCCTTCTTCCTGTTAGCAGAGAGAGCCGTTGTAGACGAGGATGGGCCACCTGGTTGGATTCCATGAAGTGGACAGCATCCTCGAGGTTTAAAAACTCCACATAGGCCGTATCGTAGCTGTAACCTGGGAACAGCATTTGAAATACAGATGGGTTTGTGTTAGTTATTGCAGGTAAATAGGATAATTTTCAAGAGAAAAAGCAATGTTTCGTTTCACAAGACATATCACAAAGTGAATTCATACAGGATGTCTTTTGCTTGTCGGGCACATTTTATTTAATTATTTAATTGTTTGAAGTCAGTCGTGAAGAATCAGAGTAACTCGGAGACAATTCTGAAGCCAAGATATACAGCTATAAAAATTAAGAAATAAAAATAATAACAGTAGAGAACAAAAATGTAACAGAGCTTGAAATAACACTACAGTAACTGAGTTTCTAGTAAATTACAAGTCTAATCACATCTAACATCTAAAACACATCATAGAAGACCCACATTTACTTTCCAACAAACTTGCAACAGTCTGAACAATTAAACAAAAAAGAACAATAAAGCAAAAAAGTTATTAATTGGATTAATTTGATTAAGTGGAACAATAAAACAACTAAAACTGAAAAAGTTGGTCTCTTCACTGCAAATTTATAGATGCTTTTAAGAATTAAATAATATTGTAATTAAATACAATTAATTTAAAATTGTATATTTTCTATGACTTGAGTCATTGGCAAAGAATGATTTTATTATAATTATTTTATTAAAGGGGTCATATGATGCTGCTAAAAATAACATTATTTTGTGTATTCGGTGTAATGAAATGTGTTTATGCGGTTTAAGGTTAAAAAACACATTTTCCACATACTGTACATTAATGTTTCTCCTCTATGCCCCACCTTTCTGAAACGCGTCAATTTTTACAAAGCTCATCGGTCTGAAAAGCGAGGTGTGCTCTGATTGGCCAGCTATCCAGTGCGTTGTGATTGGCCGAATACCTCAAGCGTGTGATGGAAATGTTACGCACCTTGCCATATTGTGATGCCTTGTCTGGCCGGAGCGAAGAGACAAAAACATTAAAACCCATTATAAACGAGGCATTTGTTGTATCCAGTGGGGACATAATCACGGATTATAATGATTTATACTGTCTTTTTACGCATTGCGTTGCGCCGAGTAAACATAAAACCATGTCTGCATTTGTGATCGGATAAATGACAAACAACAAGTGCTACTCTACACTGCCCAAAAAACTCGCGTTTGAATCGTCAGTGGCAAATTCTTTAAATATAAAAAAACGTACTTACAGTCGGTGACTCAGAACAGCCTGCATTGTAGTCTACTCTAGGATCAGGAAACAGTCCTCCATAAAATGCGCTGGACACATCTGAATATTTGGGTTGAACTGTTCTGGAACAGTGTTGTAAATACAACTTAACCACTGATTTCTAGTCGTGTCCTCTTTTTGGAAGGCCAAACAAAGTAGTTTCGCTTTCACAACGAAACAGCGTCACACACTGCGGCCTTGAGTGAGCGGAGGCCGGAGGCCTAGAGTGACCGGCGGACTAGAGTATGCGGAGGCCAGCTTGAGTGAGCAGAGGCGGGCGGGCTTGAGAACCGTGCGGCCAGCAGATTCGACGAAGGAGCATCCGGCAGGCTTGCGGCAACCACATGTGACAACCCCAGGCTGGACTCCACCTCGTCCACAGTGAAAGCCGATCTGGCGATCGACAGCGTGAAGTTGATGTATTTCCTCAGCGACCAGCACAGATCAGCTCCAGGCATGACGAAGCAGATATCGTCCTCTTTTGGAAGGCCAACCAAAGTAGTTTCGCTTTTACAACGAAACATAGCACCTTCACAGCATGACGGCAACAACAATACTACAGCGAGAATAAAAGTTACGCCTTCTTTCTTTTCGTGAACATTTGGGCGGCGTTAAGCAAATCTTCCCAGATCATGACGTAGACAAGTGGGGGCGTGTTAGAACGAGCCGTTTTAGGCGTGGTTGACTTAACTTTTATAAAGAATATCTCTTTGGATTTGAGACTTTAGTCTTTGCAACTTTACAGATCTTCTTTATGCACCAAGAGCTTGTAACACTTCAAAGAGAAAGACAAAATTGAAATCGCATCACATGACCCCTTTAATTTAAAAAAAAAAAAAAAAAGTAAAAACCTTTCCTGATATTTTCATGTTTTTTCAGGGAACAACGAACAGCATATTAGCTTATTTGATACTGTCCTTTGTGAAGAAAAGAAACAATTTTGGCATATAAAAATGAAAAAAATGTTGAAACCTTTATCAGATGAACCCAGAGAGGAATATTTTGCAGCAACACTTCACATCATCACAAAGTAGTTGCAGTTGGTATTTGTGTTTCGACAGTTAATGGCTTATTTATAAAGGGAACCACGTTTAAGAAATTCCAAAATTCCCTCTAAACACATGCCACCTTAAAGATGGAAGCTGCTCAGAGAAAATTCAACCTCCCGCACAAGAACATGGGGAAAGGGGACAACAAGAGATCCTGTAGCATGTTTGCAAAAGCGACTCAGATTCAGCAAGTACAATCGATGTAAAAGAGACAGTGAGCGCAAGATTCGGAGAGCGAATAGCGAAATGTGGTTGCGAATCGGTCATCATTGTTTACAGCGAACAAAATCTCACCTGGCACAACATCCTTTATTTTCATGCCCTGCATTGGCACACCATCACGGACTGCGAAAGCATCCAGAATCTATGAAAGAAAGAACTAACTGAAGTCAAACTTACTTTGGCAATCATTCAGGTAATTGATGATGTTGTTTTTAGAACACCAAGAAAGAACCATTTTTCTATAAGTATGAAAATAATCAAAGTCTGAATAATTACATCTCATTTACCTGTTGCATTGTGGCAGTTTTAGGAATTCCAGAGATGGCAATGGTTTTTGAGACTTGATCCTGGACACTTGCACTCCTGTAATCCTGGTCCTTTATTTCAAAATTCACAGTAGAGTTTAAATATTCAGATAATTCACAAGACAATCTGCACTAGCGCGTTTAATGTATATTATGTTTTATGTACAATTTCATAAGCAATTATGTGAGCTGTGAAAATAAATGTTATATTAACTTTTAGATGGATTACCATCCCACCTGAAAAAAGTTTTTTTTTTTCCACACTGAGGATAAAGAAAAAAAAAATCAAGCTGATAAAAAAGCAAAAGAAAAAAAATCAACTTATTCTATTTACATAATACATTTATATAATCAGAATGATTCTGTAGTTGGAAAATAAACTTTCGCGCTTTCCATCAAACAAAATCAAAAGCCAAAATCTAACCTGAGAACCAGAGTCATCTGGTCGTTGAGTTGGACCAAGTTTGGATTCCTTCACGTCTTTCTCAGGTCCTTGAAGATCCCCAAGATTGTAGTCGTATTTGCGCCCTGAGCTGGTGCGATAATCAATGTCTCTATAATCCTGATCCTGTCGCTCACCTCTATTACTCTGGGGTTCCTTTGGCCCAGACACCAAGCTCTCTCGCTGTGGTCCCTGATCTAAAGCCATGTCACTGGAACCCTTAAAGGGCACTCGATCACTTGCGAAATGATGCTCTTGATTTGGCTGGTTCTTGTTTTGGAAATATGGCGGTCTACTTCCTGCAGGTGCAGCTCTTTCAGGCTTTTCATCTCTGTCACCAGGCCAGGTTTTATCTCCATCTCTACTTTGGGCATTTAGAGGAGGATCCAGTGGAAGAAGAGGGGGCTTCTGAGTTGGATCTCTGCCTGGAAAATCACTAGGAATATTTTTCTCCCAGTTTTGGTGTTTGGAGTCTCTTTCTGATAGATTAAAGCCTGTGCCGTCTTTTCCCAGAAACCCGTCTCGGTCTCTGTCTTTGAACTGGGGACGTTCTCCAAAATCTACATCTTTTCCACGGTTAGAGAAGAACTTGTCATTCAGCTCTCTCTGGAAAAGTGGTGGCGTTCTGCCCATCATCGGTGGAAGAGATTCTCGGTCTCTCATGCCATGTTTGCGCCACTCGTCTGAGAGCGTTTCACTTTCTCTCCCTCTAAAGCCCATTGGACTGTCCATCGGCTCTGGGAATTCTCTGTCTCTGAGGGTCATCTCGTCGGGTCTGATCATGGGTTCTGGGCCACCACGACCTAAAGGCATATCAGGTCTTCCTCTGATATCCATGGGGACGCCTTCATTGTCTCGAAACATCTGAGCAGGCTGGTCTCTAAAATCATTGGAGGACCCCATGCGGTTTCTCAGATCCATATCAGATTCAAACCTCCCTCTTGGATTAAGTGGAGGGGTGACACCTCGTCTGTCAAAATCCATCATTGGTCTGTCTCTGGGAGGCATGTCCATGTTGAACCCATCAATGCCTTCCATCAGTGGCCTCTCCCTGTCTCTCATATCCCCAAGATCTCCATTTCCACCCATTGCCACCATGGCAAGTCTCCTTCTGATGTCCATGGGAGGAAGCCCAGGCATATCCATCTGGAATCTCTCCCTCTCCCTCATATTCATGAATCCATCATCTGGACCTCTCATATTCCCACTCTGCATATCTCTGCCACCCATATCCATCGATGGCCTAGACTGACCCATAAAACCTGGAGAATTCTGAAGGTTGTTTCTCTGATCCATTTCAAAGCGCCGTTGAAAATTCATGTCCATTTCATCTCCAGGTCTGAAAAAATCTCGGGGAGGCTCTCTTCCTCTGTCATGAAGACCCATGTCTCGTCCTCTCATATCAGGTGGGCAGTCAAACCGCCTCATATCCATGGGTGACCTGTCCATATTCATGCCATCCTGACCTCTGAAGTCAGGTCTTGGGCCATCTCTGCCTTCAAACATGCCTCCACGAGGTTCCCCACTGCAATAAATTCAGAAGCATTACTGCAAATGAGTGATCCATTTACTTTTTAAAAAACATACAAGCTGTGTCCCAATTCAGAGGCTGCATCCTTCGAAGACTGCATTCCAAGAATGTGTCACAGCAGCATGACAAAGTTGATTACTCTTTCAAATGCAGCCTCGAAATGTGGGTCATAAAAGATCGAACGAACGCATCCTTTGCATATTACCCAGACTATCCAAAGTTTCATTGCAAGTTTTAAAATAAAACCTAATACAGTGCTTCTGCAAGACATTTTGCTTGAAAAATGTGCTTGAGATATATTTCTTGAAAATAAAAGTCACTTGGTTTGATATTTTGTCTACTAGTATATCCACTATATCCACACTGATTACTGTGGGTTTAAAATGTTTAAATATGTTTTGGGACCAGTATACATAAAATATATTACATCAATTATAATTGTTTATACATTTTACACTTCTTTGTAAATGTATTCTTATTACATCCTGGAGCACACAAGAATATGCTAAATTGTTTATTTTTTTTATGTGAAATGCACACCGACAGGCAGGATGACTGGTACGATTAATTTGAGCTATATGATCTATTTTTGACGAAGTTCTGACAGAAATGTTAGGTTGCATGTCCCACAGTATGACAGCACTCTAAATAAGAGACCCTTAGGAACACAGTAAAATTATGACATATTCTGTGTGTCTGATGAAGAACGTAGTCTTAGAAATGTACTTCATTTAAGACCTCTTACCGAAAGGGCATTCCTCCTCGTGGTCCAGGTCTTGAACTGTTCCACATTGTTCCCTCCTCTCCTTAAAAACTCTCCCTTAGCACGAGTTTCGAGTGCAGAACGTCGGAATATACAGCTATAAGATTGAGTACACAAACGACCATCGAGAGCAAATTGCTTGGCTACCTGTATGAAATATGGCAGGAACATCTTATCACCTGTATAGCAGTTTCACAGTATTACAGCAATATTCATATTGCTTTGTTTGTACTGCACATCAACAGAACATTTGGAAACCCGTAGGCCTCAACGTATCAGACTTAATGAAAACAGATGTATTCTATATAAAATGCAGTGCTCATTAGAATTAGGATATAAGGACAGATTGAATAAAAAGAGCTACATAATTTCTTGTAAGATTGTACAGCAAAAGAAAAAGAAACATGATTCAGCAGTACAAAAACACTGAGTAATATTATATTGATATGATGATAGTATTGACAAAAACATAATGACTTGTACATCAATGAAGTACAGCAGCCGTTTTAGTTGCTGGTTAGCCAATATTATGACACAAAATATTAATATGAATTGTAATTCAGCAGCTGGGCTCTTCTGGATACATTAAATTCTACATGAAAGTCCAACTATTCTTTTTATGCAGACATATAATATTCTGATGTGTTAATTGTCCTTTTGTTTGTTTGTTTGTGTTTGTTAATTATCTTATTTAATGGCTTCAAGATTCATATTTTGAGGCTGTATTGTTTTTTAAATGCAATGTGGGAAAAAAAAGAAAATATCAGTTTGCCACTTGCAATTTTTAGGTATGCAATAAATACAACTGAAAATATTTGAACCACATACATTTTTAATGAAATGTTTTAAAGTAAATCTAAGAACTAAATAAATAAGCTTCATCCGGGTAATGGATCTTATTTTGTATAATACCCTTAAAAAGATGGTAGCAAAGGTTTGATGAGGATATTTTAAATTGGTTTGAATTAACCATGGAAATTAAATGACGGAGTATTACTTCAGAATAACAAATATTATTTCTTTGATAAAGCTATTTAAGAAAATACAGATAAAACTACTATGGGACTGGGATTTACTTTTTAAAGTCTTCCTAGATTACAGCATTTTGCACAAATGAAAATGTAAAATGGCGATCAAGCTTTTAGACACAATTGAACTTCGCTCCACCATTAGATTTCAATATGAATGTATATGTAGTGTGTAGGTGCTTCTCTATTTGCCACTATATTTGCCCGAATGTCATCCGCCATTCTATTCCTCCCTAGTCTCCCCACTACGCTGCTGGGCTGTCAGTATCTCTCCATTACACCGTGTTGGAGCCGAGGCCTCCTGCGTCTGGGCATCAGGGTGATCCAGGGTGGTGCGGGGAGGCACTGGTGTGGCAGCCAGGGGAACAGGGGTGGTGCTGGGGGTAACAGGTCCTCCTGAGGCTCCCATTGCAGGACTAGAGGCTCCAGAGTCACTCTGATCTGGAGCCCTGAGTCTCTTCATCATGGTGGTCACACGAACAGCTTTCTGGATAACAAATAATAATAATATTTTAATGTAATACGTTTAACTAAAAATACTACATATATTTTTAAATGACTCAAAAAAATGTTTTTTTTTAAATGATTAATTAAAATGATTAATTAATGAATGCATTTTAGTCCACAACTTATTGAAATTTGGCACAAATGAGGTTACAGTAGAAAGATTTTGTAATGTTTAAAAAAATGGCTTGAGGCTTAATATTTAGACTTAACACAGTAAAAACAGTAATATTGTGAAATATTGTTACAATTTAAAATAACTGTTTTTCTACAGTCATCATTCCAGTCTTCAGTGTAAATTAATACTTCAGAAATATGTCTAATATGGTGCTCAAGTAACATTACTCGTTATTATGAATGTTGAATATTTTTGTGAAAACCATGACACATTATTTTAGGATTCTTTGATTAATAGAAAGTTAATTTATTTGAAACCTTACCTTCCATTTAGCTTTAGCAAAATTTTTCTCGATCTGAGCACAAACACCATCTTTGATGTTCTTGTCTGAGGCGGCATTTCCAGATATCCTAAACAAAAAAACAACAACAAAAAGATGCACAGCAGTTAATTTTTAATTAACCTGCTGATAAATTATAAAATGCAGATTCTGTACTGGCAAAGGCTCCTTACCACTCATGATTGATGGCTTCCTGTGCGGTCAGTCTTTGGTCCTGATCCACCTCCATTAAACATGCAACTAGGCTTTTTGCTGCAAAGAATTTGTTGAATAGTTGAATTTGTGTTCTGATCAGAATCCCACAGATTCATCTCACACCTACTGTACAGTGATTTGTGTACTGTACCTGAATCTGAGATGTCATCCCAATAGGGTGAGTCAAACTCGTAGTCTCCAGACAGAATTTTCCTGAACAGGTTCTTATCATGATTGTCATAATCATCATCTTCTGTCTCATCATAAAAAGGTGGGTTTCCTGACAGTCTGTTAAAAATAATAATATGACCAGAGCATTAAAATTTCCTAGGGCAAGGGGTTCATTAGGACCATAACACCACATGAACAACAATTGATTTTGAGGAGGGATTAGGCAGAGAAACTGATACAGGAAATACTGTGCACTTACATAGTGGCAATGATGATCTAACACGCAATGTGACAAGAGGAAATGGAATGTACATGCTGATGAACTCAAGAACGTGTCAGGCAAGTGACTCCAAAACAGACATCTATGGGGTCTACTAATAAAGAAAGATATGGTTCAAAAGCACAATGAAATGAATGTGTTGAACCATCTCACACAATGAATGAAATGTATAAAATAACGACGCATGAACTCACAGGATGTACATGATCACCCCGATGGCCCAGCAGTCCACCGGTCTGCCATATCTCTGTCTGCCGACCACCTCTGGAGCTATAAGAGAAAGCCTGAATTATGAGTCAATGCCAAATATTAAATACAATATTATGCAAAACACTATATTATATTATAGTCTTCTTAGACATGTCATTTTGGTATTCATGTTGGTTTAATACATTTTTTGCAAAACATTTATGATGTAATGACTACAATCTCAAGTGGCGCAACCTTGAAGACCTTGAATGCACTTTAGTGTACACATATTAATCATTATTTTAAAAATATTTTACACATTTTTGATTGTAAACATTTTTTTTTTAAGTGTAATTCAGGAATGAAGAAAGAGGTGTGTTTTTAATTCATTATCCGTATTATTTCTATATTATTATTGTATAACTAGTTTTACATCATTGACACTAATATATTATAATTCTATCAGTATATTTATATTAATAATCGTAATTCACAATATAGGGTGCAGTTACATCTGAAAGATTTGACACTTTTTCGTACCAAGGTACTCTGGTGTGCCACATGGCTCTTTGATAAGACCATTTTCCAGTTTGGCCAGGTGAAAATCGCTGATTACAATTTTGGAGTTCTTCAGACGGTTGAAGTAGACCAGATTTTCCAGCTGACAGGGTGAAAAAATATAGCAGTAAATGCAATCAGTTGAATAAAACCTCAAACACTTTACCTCGCAAAGCCTTTATAAGAATCAGACATTTTAATTGTATTAAAAACAAGAGATGCAAGACATGTCATTGATAATAGTATGATTGTTAGAATGAATTTTTCTTTGAAATAAATTAACCCTTTAGTGTATCTAATCAACTTCTGTCTCCTGAAATGTTGTAGTCTGAGTCTGAGGTTGCATTCTGGTGCAATACCATGTGGAGACCATTAGATGGTAGTAAAGCCCCAAGTCACCTTTAGGTTTCTGTGAACGATGTGAAGAGAGTGCAGGTAAGCCACAGCCTCAAGCACTTGCCGGATCACATTGCTGGTGTCACGTTCTGAGTAGTAGCCCTGGTCTAAGATCCAGTCGAACACCTCCCTTCCTGTGGCCCTGAAGTAAAAAACATGAAAAACAGCCAAGCCAAATACTCATGTGAAAGTCAAAATTGTCCTTGTAATATAATGACTGTACAAAAATATTTGTAGTTTATAGAAAGAAATGATCAAGAAGCACATGCAAATGCATCTTTACGTAAAAAATAGATCATCAAAAAATGAAACATTTAAATCATTTGCAGCTTGAAAACCCCAGTGGCCACTGAATTTTTTAATGTACTTTTTTATTTGCTTAATCTGTTGACTGGACTTCTCCAATAATAACAGGATAAAGATACAGAAGAATAAAAAAAATATTGTCTCCACTACAACCCAATCTCAATAAATAAATAAATAATCCACTTTATTACAGGCAAAATAGTATATTCTATATTCCACATCCCTATCCATCTTGAAGAAAAAAAGAAACAACTAAGGGTGTGTAAATAATAACGGGATTTTTATTTTGATTCAATTTTTTAATCTTAACACAATAAAGGCAAAAAGTATCCATTCACACTCTTGTACTTTCTTATTCACTCTCACATATGAAAATCTCAAAGCACTTACAGCTCCAGAAAGAGGAAGTACTCTTTTCTCGTCTCAAAGACATCTACCAGCTGGAGGATGTTATGATGCTTCACCCTGCGGGGAGAGACAGAGAGAAAGCAAGAGAGAAACTGTGACACTGTGAAAGGAAGCAGAGTAGAAAGTGAAAAGAAATCATGACTATTTGCAAAAATAAAATCATTTGCATGGTAAAGAGTCGACTGCATTCTGCTACTCTTGTTATACAAATTTCAACACTGAGCACCATCTGCAAGCACCTTTCTTTGCTAAAATGTGGATCGTATAAATAACTTGCACGGAAAACGTACATTTTCAAGATGAGGATCTCGTTTTTGGCTGCTTTTCGTACTTTTCTTCCATCTTTCTTCAGGAACTTTTTACAGGTGTACATTTTCAGTGTGTTCTTGTCCTTTGCCCTGAAGATTTCACAAAACTCCTCCCTGTTAATGAAGAAAATCTGGGATTTAGAATCGAATTTACACATAGAAAAAAAGGAGCATATATTTTGCACAAAAAGACTACTATAAACAAGAGCAAAACAAAAGGTAGCCATAACCATAGATTGGTACTCACGATTTCACTACCTGTCCCAGGTCATACTTATCGG